AAGCGATTCTCCTGCCTTAGCCTCCCAAGGAACTGGGATTACGGAGACCCACCACCATACCTGGTTAATTTTTGTATTTTTAATACAGATGGAGTTTCACCATATTGGCTAGGCTGGTCTCAAACTCCTGACCTCAGGTGATCCACTCACCTTGGCTTCCCAAAGTGCTGGGATTACAGGCGTGAGCCACTGCACCCAGCCTATTCAAACACTTTATAGCTCAGGGAAGCTCAGAAATTTACCCAGAGTCACACAGTTGGAAAGGTGGTGGTTTGAACACACATCTGCGTAACTCCAAAACCCATTGTCTTAACCACTTCTCTACTCCAGGTCAGCCCACAGAAGCCTGCATCTAGAATAGCAGAATCTCAAGCAGCAGCTCTGATGGGTCCATGTTCTATGCCTGCCTGAAGCTTGGACTGGGGAGAATGCAGGAACAAGGGATCAGTTGTGGGTGTTGGGGGCAGGGTGGGGGAATGACAGCATATGCCATGTGTGTGTGACATAGAGACCTATTTTATCCATATTGCAGCTGAAATTATATGAGTGTATATTAGCTTTCTAGTTGCTGCTGTAATAAATTACCAAAACCTTCATTTATTATAGTTCTGGAGGTCATAATTCTAAAATGGATCTTAATGTGGCTAAAATCAAAGTGTTGGCTGAGCTGTCTCCTGGAGGCTGTGGGGGAGATCCATTCCTTGCCTTTCTCAGTCTCCAGAGGCTGCCTGCATTCTGTGGCTCCTTAGCGCCTCCTTCCTTCATCCTCAAAACCAGTACTTCAAATCGATCTCTTTCTCTCTCTCTCCTGCTTTCATTGTCACATGTCCTTCTCTGATTCTGACCCTTCTGTCTCCCTATTGTAAAGACTCTTGTGGTTATTGGGCCCACTTAGATAACCCAGAATACTCTCCTTATCTCAGGATACTTGAACTTAATTACATCTCCGTAGTTCCTTTTGCTCTGTAAAATAGCATAGTTACAGGTTATGGGGACTAGACTGTAGACATGTTTAGGGGACTGTGATTCTTTCTATAATGAGGTGTAAAGAAAATAGAAGTGTACTATGGGCTAGCCTGGGATACCATTGCTAAGGTGGTTTCTGAGGGCTCTAGAGCAGCTGAAGCATTATTTGGGTGTTGACCCAAGGACAGCCTGATAGAGCACCTGCCACGCATGTGCTGAGAAGCCGTGCACTTGAGAACTTCCAGGACTGAAAGGTCTTTTTTTTTTTTTTTTTTTTTTTTTTTTGAGATAGAGTTTCACTCTTGTTCCCCAGGATGGAGTGCAATGGCACAATCTTGGCTCACTGCAACCTCCGCCTCCTGGGTTTAAGCGATTCTTCTGCCTTAGCCTCCTGAGTAGCTAAGTACAGGCGCCTGCCACCACACCCAGCTAATTTTTTGTATTTTTAGCAGAGACGGCATTTCACCATGTTGGCCAGGCTGGTATTGAACTCCTGACTCCACCCACTTCAGCCTCCCAAAGTGCTGGGATTATACGCGTGAGCCACCATGCCTGGCCGAAAAGTCTTTAAAGTTCATGTAAGAATTGATACCTGGGATGGTGTCTCCTGCTTCTGAGCACCATGACCAGTCTTGGATGGCCTCTTATGATCTCTGATTTTCTGTGGAATCATTTTGCATCTATATCCCTAAAAGTGCCATGCTACTCAAATTGTGGGAATGAATTACCGTGCTTCCATCAAGTGAGTGGCAGGCAGACCGATGTGTCAGGAACACGGTGTGATGCGACAAGCAGCCCACCAGGGGAGCCAGACCTGAATGATAGGAAGAGAAGAGGAGGGGATTCTGAGAATGCAGGCATGCCCAAGGACATTTTCCAAGCAGAACTGCAGTGTCCAAACGGTTTAGAAGGTACGAAGGGGAATGACTGGGAAGGTAGGCAGGTGTCACATCAGGAATGATCTGGGGGGACAGGGAGCCAGTGAAGGGTTCAGAGCAGGGGAGCAAGGGCAAAAATGCCTGTGGCCAGAGCCCCTTGAGGTCAAGTCCTGGGTCTGGTTCATAGCTGAGTGCCCAGCTTTATGAGTCTTAAGCGAAGGTGGAATGGTCAGCAGAGAGGGAATGGATGTCACAGGTAAGCCTCACTGTCCTTCCAGGTCAGCTCACCGGGCCCCCTCTGAACAGCTCCATACACACCACTGAGACTCTGTTTGGAGGGATTTAGATTCTTGCATGCATGTCATGGCGCGCCTCACTGTCTTGGGTTCCTTTCCACAGTGCATTGGCCATTGCCCAATAAATATCTGTGAATAACATATTGCAATAGGAATATAGAGGAAACAAACAAAAGAAATATAAGGGAAACTGGAACAAAAAAAACCCTAAGTCTGACAAGGTGATTGATTGGTCACCAGGGTCCCTATGTACCAGGGAGCATGGTATTAGATGGAATATGTTTCCTTTTTCAAAAGTCCATCCTGTACCAGGCTTCATTTTATCCTCATCAAAACCACCTCCTAGAGGGAAGCCATGTAAATCCTTTAAAAAAAAAAGCAACAAAAAGGCAGTTGAAGAGACCCAGACCCAGACCCGGACCCAGACCCAGTGGAGTAGAGCAGTGGTCCCCAACCTTTTTAGCACCAGGGACCAGTTTCATGGAAGACAACGTTTCCATGCACTGGGGGGTCAGTAGGGGATGGTTTTGGGATGAAACTGTTCCACCTCAGATCATCAGGCATTAGAGTCTCATAAGGAGCACAGAGCCTAGATCCCTTGCATGCACAGTTCACAATAGGGTTTGTGTTCCTGAGAATCCAGTGCCACTGCTGATCTGACAGGAGGCAGAGCTCAGGTGGTAATGCTCGCTCACCTACTGCCCACCTCCTGCTGGGCAGCCCTTTCCTAACAGGCCAAGGACCAGGACTAGTCCAGGACCCTGGGTCTGGGGACCCCTAGAGTAGAGTGGTTTGCCGTAGGGCATCTGGTAGAGGATGGGAGGATTAAGGTACTAACCTTGGCTTCTGGATTGCAGTTTTCTTTCCTCCCATGATGCTGCTAAGCTTTCCTCTTCATTCTAGCCTAGTTATCCTTCCCCCTGATAAGCTTTTGGGACCTGTGGTCTTACCCATCTTTCATTCGTCCTTACTCAAGGGCTGTCTTGGGGCATTTCATACACTGTACTTACTTACACCAGGCACTTTTACCCTTGCTATATATACCTTGTTTTGCCATCTAAACTGGACATTCTTGGAGGGCCACGGTATGATTTGAAATTTATCTGCATGCCTAGGGTATAATCCACGTGCCTAGTTACTCTTCTTTGAAAGAATGAACTCCATGTTAATTTATTTCATGAGGGTGGGGACAGCGCTGTTTTGTTTGCCATTGGAGCTAACATGATGTCTGGCCCCTAATAGTTGGGGAGTGAGTTTATGTGTTGGGGGTTTATAAGAGCACAGAAGGGTGTGGTGTGGGGAGCTTGAGCTTTGGTCTTGGGCAAAGGCCAAAAGTTATGGGGGATTGGATTGTCTTGTTCCTGGGCTCCTACCTGGTTGTGTTATTCAGATGTCTGCCATCTGTAAGTTGAGCAGCCTTTAGTTGCACAGACTGTGGTCTTGTCCCTAAACAGTTATAGACACTCTTAGGATTGTAATAAGTTAACAGCATTTTCCCAAGTGTTTCAGTTCAGGTGGCGAATTCTGGAATCTTGTATATGAGGGGAAGAAAGGCTAGAAGGCGGAAAGCTCTAGAAGGAAGGTGAGCTAGGAAGAAGGGGAGCCCCAGTAGATTGTGGGCTGGTGCGCCATGTGGATTTGGGTTTTCTGTTACTTATTCCTCACCTTAGAGTGGAGGGTGGGGGCGGGTGTGTCCATGTGCCTCTTTCTGCCCAGCTGTGCTTTCCCAAAGCCCATGTATATATGGGTTCAGGGATACAGTTTCAGTGGGTGTGCCTGGCTTTAGGATAAGCAGCGTGAACATGCCTGTGGCATATAGATGTCATGTGGTTGTGACCTAAAACCCTGGGCTCCATCAGAAGTGTTCTCCACATTGTGTTTTGGTGTAACAATTGCCCATTAAATGCCAGGCTGCCAGCATATGGTTCCCTCCAACATCCTTCTTGTTAAGTGGAAACTTTAGCTGTGTGGCTGGAATATTTTCCCATCATTTAGTATTTCAGAATTAACATATTTTGGAGAATTCTGCAATTAATGCTAAATGGCACATTTGCAGAGTATTACAGAAACAGTTAAATGGGAGTTGGTAGACCTGTAGCTGCATTTTCTCATGATGGTTAAGTGGTGGGTTAGGAAAAGGCGGGGTCAACGGGAGGATTCTGGGGCTCACTCTGTGGATGCTATAATTAAAGTAGGAAGTCTGGCATAGTTGTTAGCCCTGCTATTAAGAGTGCAGATGGCTAACGGCCACATCACCAAGAGTAAGAGGTCTTTTAAAGTCCTTTTTCTTTTTCTTTTATGACCCACCCTGTGTATTCCAAGCATAGGTATGATGCAGTGAAGAATTTTCTCATTAAAAGTAACAGCTTGTTCCCACACTCCTTTCCAGTCTTGGAATGAGAAACCGGTTTCCCTAGACTTGAGGAATTGCCTATCTGTCATGGCTTAATAGCGCTTGTGGATGAGGATGTCTGGAGTAGGCGAATTTTATAACCAATCAGTGCTCAAAGTGGATCTAATTGGAAGGGTTCCATCTGGCAGCTCATGGTCTTTTTCTCCCAATTTTACTGTTAATGAATTATTATTTAACCCCTAAACATAGAACAGCCTGCCTCTATTGTTTTAGGGAAAGTAAATGCTCATGATCCCTCTGGCCTGGCAGTTAGGAATCTCCTGGGCTGGCAGGAGTCTGGCAGCTGTGGGGGACCATGAAGTGGGCAGAAAGAGTGGTGGGACAATGCCCGGGGACTGGCATGACCCCGGGTCTCAGCCGTACTGCCTCTGTTTGGATTCGATGGGGATCTGTGCTGGAAGAGCAAATTGGCTTCACTCTGCATCATATTCTCTTGTTTTCCCACAGGGAGTAGGGCCGGCCAGCAGAAACAGTGGGCTGCACAACATCACCTTCAAGTATGACAGTAAGTAACCTCCTTTATTGCTGAAGAATGGAGCCCTTTGAGTCGTCTAAAGATTACATAGCCATGCTTAATCAAGGACGCTGCAGTCTTGGAGTTGAGGAATTTTCTGAACCTGTTCAGGTTTGTCAACAGCTAAGGCAGCTCAGTCTCAATTAAGCCACTCAAGTATTTGAGAGCTTGACCAGGTCAAGTGTCTTCCATAGTGTTTAGAAAAGATGTGTATGGAGACCCTCCCTATGTTCCTTGGGGTTTATCTGCATTTGTCGTTAAGGACATAGCTGCCAGTATGGCCCAGCAGGGAACACATGAAGTTGCCCCAGTGCAGGGTGCTAGGCAATGGTGGAGACTATGGCAAACTGGATAGCTCATGTGTACTCTGAGGGTAGCATTGACTCCTTAATTCCAAATATTGTGGCCATGAGGAGTTCTCACTGAAGGTAGCAAATTGATTTCTAAGAATAGTGAGAAATTTGTGCTTTTTGTGTAAACATTTTTAATAACAGCAGTTATTTTTAAAATTTCACACAGAGTGAATCTGTTTGAAATTCACACAAGGTGAATCTGTGTGAATCTGGGTCTCAGATTGGCCAGGGGTCTGCAGTTGGTTGGTCATTGCTGACCAGACCTGGGCTCCAACCCCGTTCCCCATCTATCAGTTTTTTTTTCTTTTCTTTCCTTTCCTTTTCTTTCTTTTCTTTTTTTTTTTTTTTTAAATGTTCTTTTCTTTTTTGAGATAGAGTCTCACTCTGTCATCCAGGCTGGAATATAGTATGTGATCTTGGCTCACTGCAACCTCCACCTCCCAAGTTCAAATGATTCTCATGCCTCAGCCTTCTGAGCAGCTGGGATGACAGATGCATGCCACCATACCTGGTTAGTTTTTATATTTTTAGTAGAGACTGGGTTTCACCATGTTGGCCAGGCTGGTCTTGAACTCTTGGCCTCAAGTGATCTGCCTGCCTCTGCCTCCCAAAGTGCTGGGATTACAGGTGTGAGCCACTGTGCCTGGTGCCACCTATCAGTTCTATGGGCTGTGGCTGGTGATTTGACTTCTCCAGCCTTCAGTTTTCTCGTATGAAATAAAAATTAGTTTCCTTCTTCTAGCATCATTTTGAGGTTTAAATGAGGTAATGCTTATAACTGCTCAACTTGGGAGCTACAGTGTACACTTAGTAATTGATATCTATAAATATAGAAGTCAGTCCAATTGGAGTTGGAATGCAAGCCCCATTTTTTGCCCTTTCTCCCAAGAAAGGGTGACTCTTTCTGAATTGTTTTCTAAGGGCACGGGGGTACTTTTTCTAAGCACCTTCTTTCGTTCATTTAAAAAAAAAAAAAGTAATTGTATAGAATTGTGACCATTTTGGCTTTATGATTTATAAGTAAAAATGACAAGAAGGAACTTGACTCATATTTAGTGATTTCTGACATCTGATTAATCTCTTAGACAGGGTTATGAATCAATGTGAGTAAAGGGCTTATTTACATTAAGGCCTTTGGAATAATCACTGCTAAAGCAGGATTTTAAAAGTTGTGGTTACACTCTAACAGTTTTTTTTCTTTTTTTTGAGATGAAGTTTCGATCTTGTTGCCCAGGCTGGGGTACAATGGCATGATCTCGGCTCACTGTAACCTCTGCCTCTTGAGTTGAAGTGATTCTCCTGCCTCAGCCTCTCAAGTAGCTAGGATTCCAGGCACAAGCTACCACACCCGGCTAATTTTTTGTATTTTAGTAGAGACTGGGTTTCACCTTGTTGGCCAGGCTGGTATTGAACCCCTGACCTCATGATCCGCCCACCTTGGCCTCCCAAAGTGTTGGGATTATAGGCATGAGCCACTGCACCCTACCACAAACTCCATATTAAATTAGAGATACAAGTGCTTGTTTGCAGCTGACGGGAAAATTTCGGACTCTTGAATGTAATGTAAGATCTGCTGGGACCAAGAGCACATATTAGAAGTTCACTTTGTAACTCAAAGAAAAGATCCCTTACACATGTCTTTACTTAGCTGAATCAAGTATCGTGGGTGTGCCAATCTTTCATTAGCATCTCAGCATTTATTCAAAACGTATACACACCACCGATGAGAACAGCCTGAGTTAAACATGTAAGTCCTCACTGGTTAGCCTAAAATAACCATGCCAGCAACTGTGGGTGTGAATCTGACACACACATTTGTATCTTAAAATTGTTACATGGTAAGCTGAGTGTGGTAGCTCATGCCTGTAATCCCAGCACTTTGGGAGGCCAAGGCAGGCGGATCACCAGAGGCTGGGAGTTCGAGACCAGCCTGACCTACATGATGAAACTCCGTCTTTACTAAAAATACAAAAGTCACCAGGCCTGGTGGCTCATGCATGTAATCCCAGCTACTCGGGAGGCTGAGGCAGGAGAATTGCTTGAACCCACGTGGCAGAGGTTGTAGTGAGCCCAGATCGCACCGCTGCACTCCAGGTTGGTGACAGAGTAAGACTCCATCTCAAAAAAACAAAGGGGGAGTTTGTGAAAGAAGATCTCTATCTGTAAAATTTTAAAGTATCTTGCTGTTTTCTTCATGATACCAAATATTTGGTCACATACCTATGCCTGTCTCTTAGTCATTACTTTCTTTTTAATTCTTCAACATTTAATTAGAATTTAATTCGTAGCTTGTATTGACTCCTGAGACATTTGAAGCTCAGTTGCATTTTGGTAAAATGTCATTTGGGCATAAAGTTTTTGTAACCAGAATCCAAAACTTTGAACTTGCTAATAATTGGATCCAGGCTGTGTAGAAAAACTTATTTCATATTTTCCATTGAAAAAGATATTTCTGTCTTCCACAAAGAAGTTCCTGTTATGGCTCAGTTGACTGGTTACTAGTTAACTGAAGTAACTTGTTTGAAATAACTAAGAACCAATTACTGGGTTTTCAACAAAATTACTAAAAATCCTATTTTTCTATTTCTTTATCATTTAATGTTATAAAGGAAAAAAATGTCTTTCCATTAAGTCAAAATTAAATTTTACAAGTCTCTCTGCCTCCTTTGGCCTTGAATTCCATGTTTTTTCCTTTACATTCCGGGGGGGGTGGTATGCCCAAGTAGGTTGTATTAAATTTTCTTAATGCTTAGACTTTATATTGGCTGGGTGTGGTGGCTCATGCCTATCCCAGCACTTTGGGAGGCCGAAGCAGGTGGATCACTTGAGGTCAAGAGTTTGAGACCAGACTAACCAATAAGGTGAAACCCTGTCTGTACTAAAAATATGAAAATTAGCTGAGCACAGTGGCATGTGCCTGTAGTCCCAGCTACTCAGGAGGCAGAAACAGGAGAATTGCTTGAACTCAGGTGGCGGAGGTTGCAGTGAGCTGAGATCATGCCACTGCACTCCAGCCTGGGCGACTCTTTGAGACAGAGCAAGACTCTGTCTCAAAAAAAAAAAAAATTCTTAGACTTTATATTTCACTTTATATTTCGTAATTGTATTTACAGAAACCCAAACAGTGTTAATTTTGGCATTAGGAATGAACAAAGAAAACAATGACAACAACAACAACCATGATTTGCTCTTGTTCATGCGTCTTTTCAGAGGAAACCTTGTTTGATTCCAAGGTTTCTCTTTCATTATAGACTACAATAAATCAAAATATTTGAACTTTACAAGTATGACAGGATTTTGCTTTTTTTAAAAAATTTATTTATTTATTTATTTTATTTTGGGAAGCTGGTCTCAGCCAGGAGTTTTGCAGGTGGAACACCTCTGATTCAGAACTCATGTTGGTAGCAATAAGCTCTGTGCTGTGATATAAGTGGTAACAGCTGATCTCTCGTAGGTGCAGTTTCCTCATTTGTAAAGTGAGGGTGTTAAACCAGGTGTTATAAATTTTTTCCTATTCTAAAATCTCTTCTTCTCCCAGAGAACATATGTTGATTGCTTTGAGAGTGAATTTTCACTAGAAGTAGAATTTGGTTATATTAATTATTAGCATCCTTTGAAAGAAGTAATATTGAAATGTAAATACGGGCCAGCTTGGTGGCTCACACCTGTAATCTCAGCACTTTGGGCGGCTGACGTGGGTGGATCATCTGAGGTCAGGAGCTTGAGACCAGCCTGGCCACATGGAGAAAAACTGTCTCTACTAAAAATACAAAAATTAGGCGTGTTGGCACATGCCTGTAATTCCAGCTACTTGGGAGGCTGAGGCAGGAGAATCACTTGAACCCAGGAGGCAGAGGTTGCTGTGAGCTGAGATCGCACCATTGTACTCCAGCCTGGGCAATAAGAGTGAAACTCCATCTCAAAAAAAAAGGAAAGAAAGAAAAGAAAGGTAGATATAACTTTTTTTTTTTTAAGTTCCATCAATTTTTAAAAATTATTTGAGTGAGAGAATCCAGAAAGATGGAATCCAGGAGAGGAAAGCAGCTTCCACACTGAGTGGAAGGGAATAGAGAGAGATGGAGTTTAGGAGGGGAAGACAGGCTTCCAAGAGAGAATGTTCATGGAAGGGGACTCCAGAGGGAAAATCCAGGAGAGAGAAAAACAGCTTCCACAAAGGGAGTGTTCGTGGAAGGGGATCCAAACATGAAGTCCCAATATAACTGTTTTTTAAGCAGATGTAGTTTAGTGCAGTAAGGGAGTGTGCCTAATGTAGTCAGACAATAAAGCAGAACACAGGCAGCGTGAAGGATGGAGTTTTACAAGTGTGGGGGGTGCGTTTTAGTGTATGTATTTTATGCTTTAATACATTTAAAAGGAGGAATATTATGTGCATGTTAAGGCCTGGAAGGGTATTCATTAGAATGTTCATCGCACCTTCGTGTGGTAAGAGGTTATGAATGCCTTTTGTATTTTTCTTATAGAGTTTTGTGGCTTTTCAATGTCTCCAATGAACATTTTTAGTCATAAAAATGGGAAATGTGCAGCAACGTCTACAGGGAGAAAAAGGCAGACTCACAGAGCTCCTTACAAAGTGCCCTGGAATGCTTTACCCCAAAGAAAAACACCCTGGCTTCAGAGGGGTAATGGATAGGTTTGGATGTTTGATGGAACTGACGATCTTTTGCAGCAGATACTAAAAGGGAGGGTGTTCAGGTTTGATCACTGAGAAAGAAATGGGGATGAAGCAGCATAAGAATTATGAGTGGTGTCTGCTGGGGATGGCAAATGGTTCTCCCTGCAAGAGTGGCCAGAACAGCTCATGGCCATTCACTGAAGTCACAGCCTGATTCTTGCTGGAAGCTTTTGGCATTTTTTTTTTTAAAGAAACTTCCAGATTTTGAAGGCGTATTTAACAAGACCAGCTGGTGCAGCTACTATGGCTACATTGACAGGTGGCAGTGAGTAACCTCCTCAGATGAAATCAAAGATTGGTGTGTTTTTTGTTTTTTGAGAAACGTGGGGTGCCTTGGATTTACTGGAGGTTTCTGGTATCTTTGATGACACACAATGTCTTAGAACAAAAATTTTACCTTTGGCCAATGCTAGTTAACATCCTTATCACTTGGTCACTGAGTTAGTACCCTGTGCTAACTGGGTTAAGAGTCTTGCTGAGACTCACTCTCCTATGAATTCACATCTGAGTGTTAATTCCTTTCCCCCAGTCACCTGGCCCTCTGGGTTTTTTCTAAAAACAAACAATGCCCAAGTTATTTAGCAATTGTTTTGTTTCAAATCACTTTTTTTTTTTGAAGAATTAAAACTATTTTTGTTCTCAGATAGCATGATCTTATATGAAGAAGATCTCAAAGAATTTGCCAAAAAGCTACTATAATTATTAAATTTATTAAACATTGCAGGATACAAAATCAACACACAAAAATCAGTTGTGCTTCTATAAACTAGCAGTGAGCAGTCCTAAAAGGAAACCAAAAAAATTCATTTACAGTAGCACCCAAAAGAATAAACTAGCTAGGAATAATTTTTTTTTTTTACTTTATATTGCTTTTTTAAAAAATACTTTAAGTTCTGGGGTACATGTGCAGATCGTGCAGGTTTGTTACAAAAGGTATACACATGCCATGGTGGTTTGCTGCATCCATTCCCCCTGTCATCTACATTAGGTATTTCTCCTAACGTTATCCCTCCCTAATTCCCCCAACCCCTGCTATCCCCACTTAGCCCCTGCTCCCTCAAATCACTCTGAAATGTTGAAAATTGGTTGATTTGATGTAAATAATTACTGATTTAGGTTTTAAAAAAGTTCATGCCAGATACACACACAGACTCCACACTGTGTAAGATTCTCCCAACACTGCCCTGGCATTTAACATGGGATGAGCGGGTGGTGGTGGTGCTACAGATCATCCCTCTGTAGTATCTGACAGCTTTCCAAGCAGTAGTCAGCCTCTGATGTATGATTTGGGCTTTTGAGGCATACATCTTTAACAGAACGGATTTGGCCACCTTCAGACATGCCCTGTTTATTTTGATAATGAACCTGAAAATAAAAATGAAATTTTAAATTTTATTGTTCTCATTCTCCCCACGCTCTAGACTGTACCACTTACTTGAATCCAATGGGGAAGCACGTGATTGCTGACGCGCAGAACATCACCATCAGCCAGTATGCTTGCCATGACCAAGTGGCAGTCACCATTCTTTGGTCCCCAGGGGCTCTCGGTGAGTGGTCAAAAATTGAGTGCATAGTGGTGACCTGGGTGGATAGGGCCCAGTGCAAAGCTCCCACATGATGGTTTCCAGGAACTAGGCAGGTCTTGATGTGAGTGAGGCTTACGTTGGATTTGGCACAGATACACTTTGAACTTTGTTGCATGGATTTGCTGGGCATACACATGGCTTGAGGCTGTGCCCCACGGTCTCTTGTTTCTTCTACTGTTATTGTTATTCACTTGGGCTTGAAAAATAATATTACATGAGTAATAAATGGCACTGAGGTCTTCTTGGCCTCTGCCTCAGCACTAGTCAGGGGTGGGAGGGCAGCAGTGCCAGGAAAGCCCATGGCCCATCCATGGTGATAATGGCCATTCAGCATTAGCAGTCTCTGCAGACACAGAGAAATGCCAGCCCAGCATTGGCACATGTTGTGATTTTTCAGGAAAATCCTGGTATTCATGAAAAACAATGAAATCGATGAATTTTTAAATGTTGGCAACAAATTTTTTTTTTTTTTTTTTTTTTTTTTGAGACAGTTTCACTCTTTCGTCCAGGCTGGAGTGTAGTGGCATGATCTCGGCTCACTGCAACCTCTGCCTTCTGGTTTCAAGCAATTCTTCTGCCTCAGACTCCCATGTAGCTGGGATTACAGGTGCCCACCACCAAGGCCAGCTAATTTTTGTATTTTTAGTAGAGACAGCATTTCACCATGTTGGCCAGGCTGGTCTTGAACTCCTGACTTCATGATCTGCCTGCCTCAGACTCCCAAAATGCTGGGATTACAGGCATGAGCCACCGTGCCTGGCTTGAATTTTTATTTAAATTCTGTGTGAGCCAAAAAAAACAAAATGGAAAAGAAACAAACAAACAAAAAAGCAGGCCAAGCATGGTGGCTTACACCTGTAATCTCAGCACTTTGGGAGGTCAAATGGGAGAATTATTTGAGGCCAGGGGTTCGAGACTAGCCTGGGCAACAAAGTGAGACCCCATTTCTACAAAAAGATTAAAAAATTATCCTGGCATGGTGTCACAAGCCTGTAGTCTTAGTTACTTGGAAGGCTGGGGCAGGAGGATCATTTGAGCCCAGGGTTTGATGCTGCAGTGAGCTATGATTATTCTGCCATTGCACTCAAGCCTGAGCTACAGAGCGAGACCCTGTCTCTAAAAAACAAAACAGGCTGGGTGTGGTGGCTCATACCTGTAATCCCAGCACTTAGGGAGACCGAAGCTGGTGGATCACCTAAGGTCAGGAGTTCAAGACCAGCCTGATCAATATGGTGAAATCCTATCTCCACTAAAAATACAAAATTACCTGTACGTAAAGGTGCATGCATGTAATCCCAGCTACTTGGAAGGCTAAGGCAGGAGAATTGCTTGAATCTGCCAGGCAGAGGTTGCAGTGAGCTGAGATCATACCATTATACTCCAGCTTGGGCAACAAGAGCGAAACTCTGTCTCAAAAATAAATAAATACATTTTTAAAAACCCAAAAACTAAAGAAAAAAGCAAACCTGAATTATCTGGCTAGTTTCAGGTTGGGGCTAAATCACCTTAACCTCTTGAATGAATTGAAGATACACAGGAAAGAATGGGTCAGCCAAACGTGAAACGCGGGAGGGACCATTTGTTCAGACAGGCCTGGGTTTGAACCCCCAGAATTGATCTTTCACATGAGATATTGAACCTCACTGAGCCCCACCTTCCCTGTATATAGAGTAGAGATGAGAACTGCCTCACAGTTAGAGACTCCCATGGTACATTTTCGGAGCACTCTCAAAGAATAGTGGCTGCTATTACCATGATCAGAACCTGGTTCTTGGGCCTGCCGCTTTGACACTACCACCTGATCTTACAAATCTGTAAAATCCTGGCCAAGGGAGAAGTAAAATAAAGTCTGAATTTCTTAATCTGAACAGGATAGATCTCAGAAGAACCAGATTGCAGGAAGACTGTGTGCACGAGAGGGAGGATAGAGCAGACCCATGGGCAGAACCACTTCTCCGTATCAATACTTCAGGGTTTTAACCCACTGGGGTTTCCAAAAATAATATTATCTTAACATTTAAAGATTAAAAACATTTTCTGTAGATAAAAGGGAAGTGGTCATTCCATGTAAGGCTTAAATGGTTAAGGAGTTAGCCTGACGAATTGCAGGCCGCCTCATTAGAATGATAGTAAGAGATGTGAGCTGATGGCAGGAAAACTGACACGGAACAGGCAGAAGGCTGTGCTTTTCTTGAATGATGCTTTATGGGTGGGGGTGGCTGGACAGTTTCTGTTACATTCTATCAAGGACACTTCTTGGAAGGTAGAAAAGCATATGAGTTAAGAGAACTGGCTCAGAGCCACTTCCTGGGTTCAAATCTCACCTCTGTCATTTTATTTCTGTGTGACCCTGGGCAAACCAATTGGCTGCTATAAACCTCAGTTTCCTCATCTGTAAAATGGGGATAATAACACCTTCCTCCTCTGGTTGTTGGGAGGATTTGATGAGTTTAAATGATGGAAGAGAGAGCAAATAAGTTCTTTCATGGGAAGCTGCTCTATAAAATTGCTAATCATTACATAACTACAAGGTGTTAATAGTACTATAATGTGTCAAAGTGATAAAGGAATTAACATTTGCCGCCTCTTCCCTCAGCCCCAGAACCTTGGCATGGTGGTTTTTAGGCTAATCTTTAAAAAAGAAGAACATGTTTTTTAATTTTTTAAAAAACATGCCACCTCAGCTGATGAATTTTTATATAATTGTGAGATGTGTGGCTGTTAATTATATTAATCACCTGGCTTTTGTTAAACAGTCATTCTGGGAATGTTGCATAAATTAAATCTTAGTATTAATACTGAGGATTTGTTTTAAAAAACTTGTTTTGAATTAGCCAGGTGTGGCGGCATGTGCCTGTAGTCCCAGCTCCTCGGGAGGCTGAGGCGAGAGAATTTCTTGAACCCGGGAGGCAGAGGCTGCAATGAGCCGAGATTGTGCCACTGCACTCCAGCCTGGGAGACAGAGCAAGACTCTGTCTCACAAAACAAAAACAAACAAACAAAAAAAACTTTTTTTTTTTGTATCTCAAAAGGCAAGTCTTGTGAGATCTAAATAGTTGTTGGTCTAACGACCTTGTCATCACCTTGTCTGAATCTCTGGTGGTTGGTCAGCTGGCTTTCATCCCAACAGGAAGCTTTGTAATTGAAATACACCATGGCAGAGTCTGTACCTGTGCACAATAATGCTCTGAAACCCTAAAACCTGAAGCTCTAATTGTGCTCCTCTGCCCTTCCCACCATGAAATATGTATTCTTCATCAAATAATTATAGGATTGGAGAACCTATTTGAAAGAGAAAAAGATTTTCCTGGCCTTTATCATCAATAAATTTCCCACCTGCTTAATTGCATCCTGTGTAATTACTTTTGTCCTGGGAGGGGAAGGGTTGAAAATGTTCAGAAAGAATGTGAAATCGATATCTCGCCAATTGCGGCAGGCTTTGGGGCTCTCCAGCTGCAGTTGGACCACTTCAGTCTCCGTGGGATACACAGCCCCGGTGCTGGCTCTTGTGGCCATCAGAGCTTAATCCTTTTGAAAGCATCTAGTCGGACGTGCAGTGGGGGGAACTCAGGTGGCAGGAGGCTGGGCTGGCGCCTTTCAGTGGCGCTGTGGGTATCTCGGGGCCTCAGAGGCTGTATGAAGAGCACACACTGGGCAGCCCTTGGGTGTCTGCCTTTCAGGCATGATTAGAGCAAGAACCGCTTTGTAAATCACATAGGCATTCCCCTAAGCTATTTAATCTCAAGCCTCAGAACCCCTTGGGTCCAGACACAATTTGTTGGGAATTTTGTATGTTGCTCAGTGAGACGTGCCAAAAAATATAGAGCTAAAACTTGAAGTGGAAACATGGTTTTGGGGGATTCCCTAGTCAACACTGGGAATTATCAGCTGAATATACTCTGTGTAATGACCTAGAAATTATATATTCCACTTCAGGCTTTTTATGATAAATTGTAACTGGAGTCTAAATATTTGAACCCTAATGCCAGAGAGGCAATGGGTATTTATGAAATAGCTGGCTGGATTAGGGATTAATTAGTAATGGTGGGATGGAGAAAATCACCTGGTCTTTACCAGAGGAATGCAAGGGATATGTTTTTTCCATCCTATAGACTCAGATACCTTGGCCAGAGTTAGAATTCCTTTAACTCTGGTGTGCAGGTAGAGAAGATGGTAATCTTGGAGGAAGGAGAATCTGTTCAGAGGTAATTGGTTCACTTTAATAAAAGCATTCTGCTTTGCTTAGGCATTGAATTCCTGAAAGGATTTCGAGTAATACTGGAGGAGCTGAAGTCAGAGGGAAGACAGTGCCAACAACTGATTCTAAAGGATCCGAAGCAGCTCAACAGTAGCTTCAAAAGAACTGTAAGTCACACTGGGGAATGTACTCCTGAAGACATGCCATTGTTCTGGGGGCCTGAATGGTCTATTCAAAGTCTGAAATTTGAGAAGGAGGGGCTGTGGGGTCCACCCCACCCGCCAGCGTGGGCAAGAATGGTACAGCAGCACCCTGAGCCTGCTCCACGCTCCCAGGGAAACCCTTCAGCACCTCTCTGTGTAAACACGCCTCTTGGGTTACCGCTAGAGCAGCAATCCTGGAAGGTGTCTTTGTGCTCCAAAGAGTGTATGTGGGCTCACCCTGCCCCCAAACTCTGAGATTCAATATTAACAAGCCATAGATTCTTTGCCAAAAAACAGACTGCATTGTCCATCTTCATGGTTAAGCAATCCAAACCTCAAGTTGGTCCAGCAACTAGACCTGACTTCCTGCCTTCCCGGAATATGTCCTACAGATCTGGAGTTCTGTCTGGGTGGCAGCTGGGGTAGGAGTGAAGACCTTGTGTAGGTGGAGGGTGGGTAATTTCTCTATGATGTCACTGTGTTTTTGTTCCCTTTTAGGGAATGGAATCTCAACCTTTCCTGAATATGAAATTTGAAACGGATTATTTTGTAAAGGTGGTCCCTTTTCCTTCCATTAAAAATGAAAGCAATTACCACCCTTTTTTCTTCAGAACACGAGGTGAGTATGGTCTTTCCTGCCTGGTTCCCATGAGAAGACTTTTCTCCTGCTTTTAATGACTTTTTTGCAGAAATGTGTTCAAGAACATGCCAAGCCAGGCACAGTGTGTCATGCCTGTAATCCCAGCACTTTGGGAGGCCGAGGAGGATAGATCACAAGACCAGCCTGGCCAACATGGTGAAACCCTGTCTCTACTAAAAATACAAAAATTAGCCAAGCGTGGTGGTGGGCGCCTGTAATCCTAGCTGTTTGAGAGGCTGAGGCAGAAGAATCACTTGAACCTGGGAAGTGGAGGTTGCAGTGAGCTGAGATCATGCCACTGCATTCCAGCCTGGCTGACGGAGCAAGACTCTGTCTCTGGGGAGAAAAAAAAGAACATGCCAAATACTAGTACGAAACAAGCATGGCAAGGAGAAAAGCATCCAGAAAAGCACTTTACAGATTTAAGGTTAGGTACAGACACTGTTCATCTAACCAGATATATCTACTCCTGGCTTATAGGACAGACTTGACAGTTGATATTTTTAAGGATGCTGTTGACTACCACTAAGACAGCCATGCATTACCAGGCACTGTGGCACACGCCCATACTTGCAGCTATTTGGGAGGCTGAGGCAGGAGGATTGCTTGAGCCCAGGAGTTTGAGGTCAGCCTGGGCAACATAGCAAGACCCCATTTCTAGTTAAAAAAGATAGCTGTCGGACCAGGCACAGTGGCTGATGCCTGTGATCCCAGCACTTTGGGAGGCTGAGGCGGATGGATCATGAGGTCAAGAGATCAAGACCATCCTGGCCAGTTGGTGAAACCCTGTCTCTACTAAAAATACAAAAATTAGCCAGGTGTGGTAGCACACGCCTGTAGTCCCAGCAACTCGGGAGGCTGAAGCAGGAGAATCACTTGAACCTGGGAGGGGAGATTGTAGTGAGCCTAGATCACGCCACTGCATTCCAGCCTGGGCAACAGAGCCAGACTCCGTCTCAAAAAAAAAAAAAAAAAAAAAGCCATGTATCAAAACAATTGGATTAAAGAAAAAAAAAAAAAAAACAGGAATAAAAAGGGTGTTGATTTTGTGGTAAAGGGCAGGAGCATGAAATAATTCCATCTTTTACCTGTTATCAGGAGGGTGGCCTGTCATTTTTAGGACTAGATTATGAAAAAATTATTTTCCAGAAAGTTCTGTTTATTTAATGTCTATGTGGAAGGCCCTGTTCTAAATGCATTCCAAATATTAACTCCAAACACCCTCTGTGACAACCCTACAAAGAATTTAATTGTACTATCTCCACTTGCTAGATGTCGAATCACACACAGAGAAGGTGAAGGGCTTACAGGGAGTTGGATTTGAACCCTAGAAGTCTGACTCTGGAATCCACGCTCTGAGCTCAACCACCAACTGTGCTGGGTCACTCACCTTCTGTTCTGTACAGGGTATCTCTTTAATCTTCTGAGTTGCTACTTGCTTTTTTCTTTTTTTTTGAGACAGAGTTTTGCTCTTACTGCCCAGGCTGGAGTGCAATGGCATGATCTCGGCTCACCGCAACCTCTGCCTCATGTGTTCAAGCCATTCTCCTTCCTCAGCCTCCCGAGTAGCTGGGATCACAGGCATGCACCACCACACCCAGCTAATTTTGTAATTTTTAGTAGAGATGGGGTTTCTCCATGTTGGTCAGGCTAGTCTCAAACTCCCAACCTCAGGTGATCTGCCTGCCTTGGCCTCCCAAAGTGCTGGGATTACAAGCACAAGCCACTGGACCCAGTGCTGCTTTCAGACTTTGGTGGCTGGTCATGCTGCAACTAGTAGCAGCTCCTTCTTGTCTTCCTGATCAATCTTTCTGTCATTCAAGGCCTTGAATGGTCAGTCCTGTCTGACATCCCCTCCTGTGATGTCTGGTTGCAGTCCTCCTCCATTATGATGTTTCTGTTTGCAATCAAGCCTACACCAATGTCTGCCTCTGCACAATTCTTACTGTGGTTGTTTTCTATGCCTCAAAGTTATTTTAACAATTGGTCTCATTTCTTAAAATAAGATTTCATAAAGCAAAGACCATGTGTATGTCACATCATCTCTGGATGACTTGCACATAATAACCAGACAGAAGATTCAAAGAATGTATTTATGAAAGCCTCACCTAAATCAAAATTGTGTAATTTAAGATGAATTTTTCCCATTGGCATAGAATCAATGTGTCTGTTTGGGGGTAAGGTGGAGGCAGGGTGTGTGTTCCTGGAATGTAAACATTTATCACCATTTCAGTGCACTGTGGTTTTGATGCTGCCTTCAGTTTTCTTGGCATTATATGGAGACTCTCCCTGGGTTAGCAAGTAGTATGACACAGTGGACTAGCTGTTTGGCCTCTCATTGTGTTTTTATTGCATTTAGATTCTGTTTCAAAGCTATTGGCTTTGGTACCTGGTTTTCAGTGCTGACACTACTACTTCTATGCCTGCATGTCATTTTGAGAAACCATCAAAAGCATTTTAAATTAGAATACTAGTGAGGGTTAAAATAATCCCATAGCAGCCACTAGGACCACTCCAAAGCTCGCTTGTGCCTAAACATCTCCACAATGGGGAGGGACTGGCATCATTTCTGTTTACAGCTGAAACAGAGCCTCCATGTGACATGAACATAGCTCTCCTGCCCTTGGCCACCAGCCTTGAAATTATGTAATGCCTGACAAGCTTTTGGAATCTGGGTGACTTTACACTGTTACCATTTATGTGGCATAAAGTAAATTGCATTAATATTTTTGTATTGTACCATTTAAATCTTCATCAGATACAACTGCACATAGTGAAAATCATTGTTGAATTTGATGTATTTTATGCCTTTTCTAGCATCACCCAGCACAGTATCTTTATGTTTCATTGGGTTGTTGGGAGAAGAAAAGGCTAAACTGTCCTAAAACTAAAAACATGTATCTTTATTGTCTTAATAGCTTGTGACCTGTTGTTACAGCCGGACAACCTGGCTTGTAAACCCTGTAAGTAATAGTGTTCTTATCTATCAAGTCTCAAAGTGTTGCCATGGTAAAGGTGTTGGGGTAGCCTCTGGGTGCTCACTCTGGGTCCTGCCTCCTTCCAGTCTGGAAGCCTCGGAACCTGAATATCAGCCAGCATGGTTTGGACATGCAGGTGTCCTTCGATCACGCACCGCACAACTTCGGCTTCCGTTTCTTCTATCTTCACTACAAGCTCAAGCATGAAGGACCTTTCAAGCGAAAGACCTGTAAGCAGGTGAGCTGCTGGGTGTACATAAAGGAACACTGTGTGTTTCAAAGTGACCCCCGCCTTGGCTCACTGGAATTTGGGTTGATTAATGTGAGCATGAGGCTTTGTTGGCTCTCAGTGGTTAGAAGCGGTGTTTTAGAAATTTACAACACTAAAATTTCACCACTTTGTTTCTTCTACCAGTGGTCAGTAAATACTTGAGAATGTAATCACTGGGCATGTCTCAGGGCCGTCTTGCCACTGTCCTTTTCTCCCTAGTTATCTATAACCCACCTGTCCTGGTGATGATATAGCCTGGTAACAGTATTGCCAAGGAATAAACAAGAATTAAGTATTTCTCATTTGTCCATATATATATATACACATAGATAGACACACACACACACCCACACACACACACACACACACACACACACACACACACACGCATGCTTTTTTTTTTTTTGAGATGGAGTCTTGCTTTGTCACCCAGGCTGGAGTGCAATGATGTGATCTTGGCTCACTGCAACCTCCACCTCCTGGGTTCAAGCGATTCTGCTGTCTCAGCCTCTGGAGTAGCTGGGATTATAGGCGCATGCCACCACGCCCAGCTAATTTTTGTATTTTTAGTAGAGACGGTTTCATCATGTTGCCAAGGCTGGTCTCTAACTCCGGACCTCAAGTGATCCGTCCATCTTGGCCTCCCAAGGTGCTGGGATGACAAGCATGAGCCACCACGCCTGGCCTGTCCTTTTATGTTTTAAACATTCATCAGGTGCTCACTGTGTGGCAGGCCCTGAGCTTTATGCTCCTTGAAGCCACACCACTTTGTGAAACAGAGGCTGTTGTCATCTCCATTTTACAGATGGGAAAGCTGAGGCTCAGGGAGGTCACCTGGCTTGCTCAAGGCCACACAGCTAGTAAATGGAAAAACCAGTTCTAGGAGCCAAGCCACTGTTAACTCAGTGGCTACTGATTTTACAAATAGGCCAAAGTTAAATAGACATTGAGTAACTAAGCCCTTAAACTGGGGTGATCAGAAGAGTGGAAACCGTTTCATGGATGTTCAAAGGACTGTCTGATCACCCACTGTGGGTACCAATAAAATTTTTGGTTGTGGTGACAAAGCCCAGTACCTCCTTAGACAAGCTCCTGTGTATGTTGGGTTCTGTCACTGTTTGTTCCCCTTGCTGGTTGTCATCTCCGTCAAGGTCTTTGACCTTCTGCCCATGTTAAAATTGTGGCAAATAAAATATGTATAAACACAGACTGGTAATTTCTTTCCCCACCCTTTTATTAAGTAAAGGTTATTCAAACTAGTTTCTTTGTCATCAAATCAAATATTCCTGCTGAGGGTGCCACCAGCTGCATAGACTATGGCAGGGGTCCTGGGCTGTCCTGGGCCTCTTATCAAAGGGAAGTTCAGATAACACGTGGCAGATAAACACAGTTGCTTTCTGACCTAATCATCTTTTGTGAAAACTGTGGTTGAGAATGGTGGCAAGTCTCCTTCAGCTCTGGGGCAGAAGAGATGTCCTAATGACCTTTGTCTAAGAGGTGAGATTTTAAAGTGTTCTTTGGTCTGTTGCAGGAGCAAAATACAGAGACAACCAGCTGCCTCCTTCAAAATGTTTCTCCAGGGGATTATATAATTGAGGTATGCATAACACAAGAAAGCCCTATTAATACTATAGAATGAACCCAGTTCATATAGAATTCCAACTGTTTACAACACTAAAATTTCAAGCCATTGAAGGTGTGCACAGTTATATTTTTATATGGTTCTTAACATGCTTTTAAAAAAAGTTTATATATAATTGATCTTTGATCTTTTCTTTTTTTTTTTTTTTGAGACGGAGTTTCGCTCTTGTTACCCAGGCTGGAGTGCAATGGCGCGATCTCGGCTCACCGCAACCTCCGCCTCCCGGGTTCAGGCAATTCTCCTACCTCAGCTTCCTGAGTAGCTGGGATTACAGGCATGCGCCACCATGCCCAGCTAATTTTTTTTTGTAGTTTTAGTGGAGACGGGGTTTCACCACGTTGACCAGGATGGTCTCGATCTCTTGACCTCCTGATCCACCCGCCTCGGCCTCCCAAAGTGCTGGGATTACAGGCGTGAGCCACCGCGCCCGGCCCTGATCTTTTCATTAAATATTTCTAATAAATATTTTTATGTAATCATATGGTCTGTATATAACTATGGCTTAAAATCTCTAGTATTCCTTCATACTACAAAGATATATTTTTAAGATTTTGGCTTAAAATTTTTTTGTTTTTGTATGAAAACAGCAAAATAAGTTATGCCCATTACTTTTGCCTACCCTTCTCTGTTTCTGTTGCTAATCTATGTAAGTATAAATGAGTTCTAAACACCACTTCAGAGAAGATGTAAATGTAATGTTTCATTTCCTTTTTAAGATTTCTTTTCCAGTATCAAATTGGTACTACAAACGTTAGAGTATAAGGAAAATAGAAAAGGAAATTAACAATGTGTCCATAGTCCTACCATTTAAAGACAACCAACGTGTCTTAACATTTTGGTAGAAACACTCAGTTCTTGCATTCCTTGGAAGCAGTGTGTGGTTTTAGACTGACACACCTTCTTAAAGCATTAATGGAGGCTCAGTAAAATCAGTGGGAGGATGTCAGTTTAATTGAACATGATTAGAACGTGGGACTCACCAGCTGACTTCTTCAATGAATACATAGCCTTTTTATTAATAAAAAAAAAACATGATGAAGTTTAGAGTTTAGAGTTGGGAAAGCAGAGATGAACCTGAGTACACATGATGCCTAGTCTCAGCCTGGCAGATGATTACAGGCTCCAGCAGCTCTTTTCCTTCAGCCATTCTCCTCTACTTGCTTCCCACCCCGCACTGCCCACTGATGGAAAAAATGAATGAAATTACCATTTTTTCTACTTACCTGGTATATATTACTTTAAAAAATAATGCAGCATCCTCTGTTTTGCAGCTGGTGGATGACACTAACACAACAAGAAAAGTGATGCATTATGCCTTAAAGCCGGGTAGGTATTTTTTTTTTGTTTGAAATTTTGGCCCTAGACTGCTATAGACCAAGTATTTGATATTCTTTATACTTTATGGTTTACAGAAACAAAACAAAATTCGGCTCCTCTCTCTCAAAAGATGTTCCATCAAATCTGACTTTCCTTCCACTCTAATGTGGATACCTGGAAGATTAAAGCCAGTTTGATGTGTATAGCTGGGACTGGATAAATAGTCAATTGTTCTCTGAAGAAAAGTGGTGGGAGGGGAGGTTTCCTTAGGCAAAATTCTCACTCAAAGGTATTTAATCTCCCAGCCTGACTCTTAACTGTTGAATAGTTCTTTGCAACTCTTAAAAAATGAACCTTTGAATCCTTTTATAATCACCAAACCAGCACTAGAGAAAGGTGGTTGGAAGGTCCTAGAACCTGTTATGTGGCTTCTGTTTAAAAAGAAAAACAGTTGTTGCTCTTTGAACCTTTACACTGCTTAAGTTTAAAGCTTTCCCTTTGAAATTTCCCAGTGCACTCCCCGTGGGCTGGGCCCATCAGAGCTGTGGCCATCACAGTGCCACTGGTGGTCATATCGGCATTCGCGACGCTCTTCACTGTGATGTGCCGCAAGAAGCAACAAGGTATCTCTTTGAGTGCTGTGTCTCCCCACAACAAGGGGCAGACCAGGGGTTGCTGCCAACAGAGAGGGAGACCGGGAGTACCTGGGTCCTCCAGGCTGGCACCTGGGAAGCCTCATAGCCTATTCAGTTCCCAGAACTAAAATATTTGGCTTTTAACCTCAGGAGCCACTAGAAAGACAGGCATCATTTTATACACACACACACACACACACATTTTTTTTTTGGAGACAGGGTCTTGCTTGTTGCCCAGACTAGAATACAGTGGCACAATCATAGTTCGCTGCAGGCTTGACTTCCCAGGCTTACGCCATCCTCCCACTTCAGCCCCCTGAGGAGCTGGGACTACATGCATGCACCACCATGCCTTGCTAATTAAATAATAATTTTTTTGTGTGTGTAGTGATGGGGTCTCTCTATGTTGCCTAGGCTGGTCTTGAACTCCTAAGCTCAAGCAATCCTCCTGCCTCAGTCTCCCAAAGTGCTGGGATTACAGGCATGAGCCACTGTGCCTGGCCCATAATTCTATTTTCAAACATAGGATAGAAAATTCAGGGACATAAAGGAAGCCTGAAATATGAGTAAGGTTATAGGCAGAGCTTGATCATTTACAAAAGTCAGCATGAGACAACCTTCTGAGGAGTTGAAAATGATCCATCGCTTGTTCTGGATGAGGGTTACACAGTTGTGTATTTCCATAAAAATTCACTGAGATGTACACTTAAGGTTTATGTACTTTACTTTTATAAATTATACCTCAATAAAAACTCTTGTAAAAAAATATCAGCTCTGCCAGTGCTTGATTGGTCTAGTAGGTGCACTTGGCTGTAAGAGTCAGTCCTGGGCACTCTGCTAACCAGGGTGGCCCCTGCAGCATTTCTTAGTTTATCCAAGGTCAGTTTCAGGTGAAGAACAATTTTTTTTAACCATTTGTTGCTCCACTGCAGAAATCAGCTGTCCCATTCCAAGTGATGACCCAAGGGGCTGATGGAGTTGGGGACTGGGACTGCTCTAGGTAGACATGTCAACTGTTCTTTCTTGAACACAGCACTGGGTTCCAAGTCTTAAGGAACAGAACAAAGCATTGCTTGTAGGTATCAACTCTATCTTCTTTTCCAATTTAGAAAATATATATTCACATTTAGATGAAGAGAGCTCTGAGGCTTCCACATACACTGCAGCACTCCCGAGAGAGAGGCTCCGGCCGCGGCCGAAGGTCTTTCTCTGCTATTCCAGTAAAGATGGCCAGAATCACATGAATGTTGTCCAGTGTTTCGCCTACTTCCTGCAGGACTTCTGTGGCTGTGAGGTGCGGAATCTAAAGTTCCTTCTCTTACCCTGGCCAAGACACTTGCCCTGTACTGTCTCCCTGCCGTCTTCTCCTCTCCTCTGGGCCTCCTGTGGTGACACCTGCCCTTGACTTCAAACTGGGGATAGTCTCACATTTTTTTTTCAGTCTGTCCTACTCATCACTAGCACTAAATATTTCATAATACTTAGTTGTAACTCTGACACACTCCTGCTTTAAGGCCTTGAGTGTCACCTCCCAGGCATTAGGAAGACCAGTAACTTCCATAGAAACATGCAATTGGGGTTAAGGAGTGTCACTCAGGACATCTTCGTGGGCATGTTCAGGACAGAAGCCCCATTTGTAGAGTCAAAGAGAGTGGCAAGTAAAGCAGTGAATTCACACAGTTGTTTGGAGGAGTTCTGCTGAGAAGGGGAGTGAAGGATGTGGCTGCCATTAGAGGGGATCTTGAGGTCTAGGGAGAAGTGCTAAACAAAGGGCTCTGTGAAGTTGTTTGACCATTGACTGGTGGAATCATGGAGAGGGAGAAACTGGTGATGCAGGAGAGGACACCGGCCAGAGAAAACAGGGAAGTAGGAAGGGAGCACTCCCAGAAAACAATATTATGTCAAGCACTCAAATGATCCACTCTGGTTTATTAGCTGTTCTCTTAAGTTATTAATATGTAATATGTTATTAATATGCTTTTCATAATGTCATAGTGTGTATTTTTAAAGTCTGAAACTCTCATGTTTTTCAGAACCTCTCCATGTGGTGAGGCTGCCCCCTAGTGTCAACATAACATATTACTCTGGCCCAGTTCCCCGCCCCCCAGCCATGTGAACTCCTCCGTGAGACTGGTAGATCCACATGTGCTGAAAAATAATTGCACTCTAGCCAATAGCACACAGTTTTCAGATACCACAGGCAACCAAGTTTGGTCTACTTCGCAACTATTTAGCCTCTGGGGAAAATGCTCTTCCAGTTATTAGTGTAATACTTACTGTCGAAAATTTGGAACTAAAAAGGGATGATAAATAAAACATTGTCTGGAATTCCAACCTGATGAAGGAAAATCTGAGATAAAGGAACCCACAGTTCACGTGTGGTTTATTTCCTTCCAGTCTTTTTCTGTATAGGTGAACTCACACATACAGCTTTGCCTTTGGGGCTGATTGAAATAATTTTTTTCTTCTGAATTTTTTACACTATTAGTAGTTATATGTAAATTGCAATTTAAAATAGCTACATGAGCCTCCATATTGATTTGCCATAACTGAGTTAATACAAATACAAATTAAACATCTCGGTGTTCAATATTGTCCCATTTGTGATGATTTCCCAAGAAAGATGCCTGGAAATGGAATTGTTGGGTCAAAGATAGGAATATTTTAAAAATGTTTGGTATGGCCGGATGCAGTGGCTCACGCATGTAATCCTAGCACTTTGGGAGGCTGAGGTGGGTGGATAACGAAGTCAGGAGTTCAAGACCTGCCTGATCAACATGGTGAAACCCCATCTCTACTAAAAATTTTTAGCCGGGCATGGTGGTGCATGCCTGTAATCCCAGCTACTCAGGAGGCTGAGAGAGGAGAATCACCTGAACCCAGCAGGCAGAGGTTGCAGTGAGCCGAGATTGCACCACTGCATTCCAGCCTGAGCAACAGAGCAAGACTCCGTCTCAAAAAAAAAAAAAAAAAAAAAAAAAAAAAAAAAAAACACCACAAACAAAAACAAAAAACAAAACCTTGATCTATACTCCCACTGAGCCTTTAGCATGTGTAATGTTAGCAAGAATTAAGGAAAGTATAAGACAATTCAGGGTTATTTTCAGCAAGTGGATGGATGTTGGGGCTTTTCCCCCTTTGGTAACATCTTAGAGGAGAAGAGAACAAAGTCATTTCAGAATGTAAGAGAATGGGGCTGCTGTCTTTGGTCATAGCCATTGGGGATTAATATCTGAACTACAAAAGGAAAGACACCAACACAACCACCAAGAGATGTTTTCAGCAGAATTAGATGAAAGTGGTCTGAGAAAGTGAAGTCCTCTGAGGGGCCACACATGTCTGGTTTTCTCTCCTTTGTCACCCACCCCCATAATCTCCCTATGAAGACTCCCTTTGGGGGTAAAGCCTTGTCAGTTACCAGCCTTGTAGAGATGATGTAGTCTTGTAGACCTGTGTGAAGCCATAGAGGAAGGTGCTAGTCACTCCTAAGTGAGTTACTCAGAATGACCATGTTAGTGCAGTTCACTAGCTTCCTCTCCAGCCTTGGACCAGCTGGTAAATAGCACGGTTGAGCATGGTCCTCTTTGTCAGTCACTCTCTAGATGTGGGTGACTGGCATCCACACCTGAGCCTCATCTTCCAGCTCACTTTGGAGTCACTCATCCACATCCTCCTCTCAGAGCCTGCCAGCCTTCTCTCCAGGATCTGCCCCTCCAATCCAGGCATCTCACTCACCAGATCAGCCAACCTCAGTTTCTCTGTCCTGTGCTCTCTGCCACCTCTTGCTTCCTTGAGGATGTCCTATGTAGGGTGTAACTTGGGCAAGGTGCCACAAGTGCTGTGCTTTGGTCCCCTCACTTGTAGGGCAGGAGTGGTAATGACTCCATCTGATGGTAAAATGAACTGATGGATGGCAAGTCTTTGCAGAGGGACTAGGGTGGTATGACCGTCACCCACGGAACCTTAGCTGTTCCTTGGTATGGGGTAACCTGGAGCCTGCACATAGCTGTGCTAATAAGGGTTAAGGGGCAGAGTAGGTGGGCTCCTTCTGACATTCCCCTTCCTGTTACCTCGTGAGCCTCTTCCTCAGCCTTCTGTATGGGTAAGGTGCCTTGTTCTCTTTCCAGGTGGTTCTGGATCTGTGGGAAGACTTCAGCCTCTGTAGAGAAGGGCAGAGAGAATGGGTCATCCAGAAGATCCATGAATCCCAGTTCATCATTGTGGTTTGTTCCAAAGGCATGAAGTACTTTGTGGACAAGAAGAGCTACAAACACAAAGGAGGTGGCCGAGGCTCCGGGAAAGGAGAGCTCTTCCTGGTGGCGGTGTCAGCCATTGCCGAAAAGCTCCGCCAGGCCAAGCAGAGTTCGTCCGCGGCGCTCAGCAAGTTCATCGCTGTCTACTTTGATTATTCCTGTGAGGGAGACGTCCCTGGTGTCCTAGAGCTGAGTACCAAGTACAAACTTATGGACAATCTTCCCCAGCTCTGTTCCCACCTGCACTCGCACGACCACGGCCTCCGGGAGCCGGGGCAGCACGGGCGACACGGCAGCAGAAGGAACTACTTCCGGAGCAAGTCAGGCCGGTCCCTGTACGTCGCCATTTGCAACATGCACCAGTTTATCGACGAGGAGCCTGACTGGTTCGAAAAGCAGTTCGTTCCCTTTCATCCTCCTCCACTGCGCTACCGGGAGCCAGTCTTGGAGAAATTTGATTCAGGCTTGGTTTTAAATGATGTCATGTGCAAACCAGGGCCCGAGAGCGATTTCTGCCTAAAGGGAGAGGCGGCCGTTCTTGGGGCAACTGGGACAGCCGACTCCCAGCTCGAGAGTCAGCACGGGGCCCTGGACGAAGACGCGGAGGCCCGGCCAGGCCTTGACGGTGGTGCCGCCCTGCAGCCCCTGCTGCACACGGTGAAAGCCGGCAGCCCCTCGGACATGCCACGGGACTCAGGCATCTATGACTCGTCTGTGCCCTCATCTGAGCTGTCTCTGCCACTGATGGAAGGACTCTCGACGGACCAGACGGAAACGTCTTCGCTGACAGAGAGCGTGTCCTCCTCTTCAGGCCTGGGTAAGGTGCCTTTGGGGCCAGGTCCTAAAAGACCACAGCCTTCGGCTATGCTTCTGTAATCAGTCAAAGCGTTTTTCCAGTTTTGGTGTTAATTTACTGAGCAATGAAACCTGATGACAACATAGCTCGTTTGGTAGTCTTGATTTATCCCAGGTGATTGGGAATACTCACATGTTTGAGTTGCAGAAATACTAACGCCAAATTATGGTGAGCTGCCCAGACCCTGCAAGGGATGTTGTGCAGCATACAGTGTATGCACTGTATCATGTTTCTAAACTCCAGAAACATCAGAACACCAAAACACATTGGGCTCCAAGGGTCTTGGATAACAGTTTGTGGACACATGCCTTTTTTAGACCTATAGTGTTCACTGCCCCCCATTTTCTTTAAAGCTACATTCATTGAGCCTGGGGTTCATGGGTGCAGTATTCTCTCTATCCTAGCTCAGCACAGGGTCTCAGGTATGAGGGCTCTTTAGGAGGGCTTACTTCCCCAGGGAGCATCGGCTGGATGCCATCTCAGGCTGCACCTTACCATGTCTGTAACTGATTGAAGTCATACAAACCCTTGACTTTTAAGAAAGATCTCTTCCTTCCTCAACTAAGGGAACTAGAGCCTGTTAGAAGGATGAGAGTGCACCATCTTGAGCAGGTTGGGATTCTTGCCTCATTTATACAAAGCCCATAGTCCAAACCCAGATCCAGCCACATTCTGGCATGAGCACCCAGGCCAGTGAAATGCAATGACAGTGTGACTCTACTCTCTTCTCTCCTTAGGTGAGGAGGAACCTCCTGCCCTTCCTTCCAAGCTCCTCTCTTCTGGGGTGTGCAAAGCAGAGCTTGGTTGCCGCAGCTGCACTGATGAACTCCACCCGGTCGCCCCTTTGTAACAAAATGGAAGAGTCTAAGCATTGCCACTTTAGCTGCTGCCTCCCTCTGATTCCCCAGCTAATCTCTCTGGTTGTATGGCCCACTTGGAGCTGAGGTCTCAGGCAAGGATATTTGGAGTAAAATACCGGCCAGTGCTTGTTCTCCCTTGCCCCAAACCTCTACCAGTTATCTGGGCAAACTCTCCAATTTTCTAAAATGATATGGAGATCTGAAAGGCATGTCCATAAGGTCTGACAACAACATTTGGTTAGTCCTTGGATCAGGGCCAGTTGTGGGAGGTAGGGAAGAAATATGTACAGAAAAACAGGAAGATACTACACTGATCATTCAGACTTCATTGAGCTCTGCAAACTTTGCCTGTTTGCTATTGGCTACCTTGATTTGAAATGCTTTGTGAAAAAAGGCACTTTTAACATCATCACAGCCACAGAAATCAAGTGCCAGTCTATCTGGAATCCGTGTTGTAGTGCAGATAATGTCCTCATTTATTTTTGATGTAGAATTAACATTGCCATGGGTGTTAAATAAGCTTTGAGTCAAAAGTCAAGAAAGTGACTGAATATATAGTCACCTTTTATGAAATGAGTCTCTGTGTTACTGGGTGGCATGGCTGACTGAAGTGAAGGTCACAGGGCCTGGCCGATCATCTTGACCATTCCATCCGAGATAGGTTGGTCAACATGCAGAAGGCCCCAGGACCTCAGCACAGGCGGTCTCCTGTTGGTCTGAGTAGGCATCATGCAGGGGCCAGATCTTATTGCTGTATCTCAGATGTTGGTGTCTGGAAGTTTATTCTTAAGAGACTGCTACCCAGTTGGTCTGAATTATTTAAAGTTGTAGTTCGTGCTTTGGTTAGTCTCTGGTCTAAAGCTGTGCCCTGAATATTAGAGATCAGAATTCGCTGAAATATAGCAGTGTGTGGAGGTGATGGCCAGTTAATCTGCTGAACTGGTTTTGACTAATGACAAACCTCTTTTTAAGAAGGGAGAATGGAGGAGGCAGTCACAAAAGTAAATGTTCCATTTTTATGAATGACTTTCTACAAAGTTTCTATTTTTAAAGAAAAAATAATTGTTCACATCTCATCTGATGACTAGCATGTGTGTGGTGAATGATGTCTTAGTCTCACCTGTGGAAACCCCTCTCCCTGTGCCTTACAGCAGGTGTGGACGTCTCTCACTACCTTTCTCATGGGTGCTGTTGGATTTTGGCACCCTGTTTTCTCAGCATTCACCCCAGGGACTGTGGTTTTCACTCCTTCCTCAGATAGGACCAACATGAAGGAGTATGCTGAGAAACACCCTGAGGCAGAGTGGGAGGTGGGATGGGGCAGGACTTTCCCTTCCAAGCACATGCTTGGCAGGTGGGGAAAGGGGGGCTTGCACCCCTGCTGGAAAGAAAAGTTTTGTGTATATTTCTGATGCAAATGTCATACTCACTGCTCTGTAAAGGCAGCTGGCAGCTTTTGGGAGAAGAACGTGCTCGTCTGTTCTGTGGCATCAAATTTCCTGCAGCTGCTCTGAGGGAGAGACAGTGAGCTGCAAGACTATCTCCCCATAAAACCAGGCAGCTCAGAGGAGAGTCATTTCATGTTCCTGTGAAATCTGGAATGAGTGCAAAGCTCCTACCCACACATGACTGCCCCGCTGTTTCATCCTAGGCATACATCCTGTGAAGGAGATTGGTTAGTACAAACTTGCTAACATATGAAAATCCACTTGGAACATTATGAGAAATTTCTTATTGAGGCCAAGAGATGTTTCCTGTCCCAAAGGAACCATTAGGAACCACTTTAAGGATATTCAGCTTTGCTCATGAAATAAGGCATCTCTGAGAAAGTGGCCTCAGGGAGAGAATGGAGGACTGGGAGGAGAAGCATTAACTGGGCTCCAAGGGTGTGGGCAGAGAGCTTGCTACATGAATGCACTCCTTATGAAAATGGAAGGGAAAAAGGGAGTGCTACTTAAAAAATCAGGGGATATTTAGTTTGGATTCAACTTATGTTGAAATACTAATGTTTCTGATCAACAAAATCAAACTCTTAATATACCAAGTAATGAAACGACAGTGTGATTGCCTGAGAATAAATTGAGAAATCCAACTTCCTAGTTTTGCTTCATTGGTTTCACATTTTCTACTCTCCCCATTGTGCTAGAAATGGAAATTGTTGCCCTGCAGATTAAGACAAAACATCTGTTTTAAGCAAAGCAGCATTTTTAGATTCAGAAACTGTCCCAGACAATGGATATAATAAGATGAAATTCAGAAAAAGGTTCTGCCAAGTCACAGGCCTTTAGATATTGCGGAAACAAGAAATGGAAAATAGGGATAAACTCCATGAGAGACCTTGATCTTGAGAGTAAAAGGCTTGTGTGGATAGGTTAGACAATATCCACTAGAAAGGAGACCAGGGGTAAGTCCAGGGTTCCAGGAAACCAAGAAGACTGCAGGTCGCTGAAGGTAGTGTGCTAGTTGTTCATCTTAATTTACCAATGCTTTACAGAAAGGACTTAGCATCTGATGTAGTCAGCTTTGCCAGGAGAGTGATCAAGGAGGTTAAAGCTCAGGTAAAGGGGTGTTCTTCTCAGAGATTGGCTACAAGCCACAGAGACCACCTCAACAGACCCAGCTCAGCCATACAGGGTACAGAAGCTCCTCCAGAGGGCTGTCTTGGGCCTTTGAGGCAACTGATCTCCAGAAAGAATCAGAAGTCATTCCAGTCCAGGCTCAGGTATTCAGATGGTGACCCAGCCAGATAATAGTATCTTGAGCCAAAAATGAGATCAGGCCATAAAGTTAGGAGACAGAGTTTTTGATTGACATGTTAGCAATAACTGAAGACAGTCTCAGAAGTTCAGTAAAATGTCTTTAGCAATGGCGACATCATTGGGATCAATGTGTAGTAAGTCATGGATCTTTAAATTTATATATGTTTGTCAAAGTTCAGTCTTATAACTTCATAGCCACAACTATCTTTTCAAAAATACCAACTGTTAGTCTAGGGTCTCCTGACTTCAGTGCACATAAACAGGAAGACTGTCATTCCAAAAATGTGGGGTTATATGATTTTCAGAGCCTTTTTTTCAGAGTTGAGCATCTTTTCCTTTAAAAGAAATAAAGGGCAAGAGGACCAATTTTATTCCTGGAGGAAAAATGACACACCCTCCTCCCAAAAGAAAGAAAACTCTGGCCCCCACAACTTCAACACTAATTGGGCTCCCTGAGAAGGGAGAAAATATTCTGTCTTTATTGAAGAGAAATGGACAATGCCAATGTGAAAGTTCCTAGTCTTATTTTCTATTGGTGAAGACTACTAGACTACTATTGCTCTTATTTAGTAGATCTTATGCCTTCAGGAGTCACCATTATAGCAGGTGAGGTTGAAGGAAAACAGCTGTGTGATGATAAATAGTAATTAATATACTTTGTCAGTGTCAGAGAGCAATAGAGGATGGTGGTGACTGTGGCAAACTGAAGCGTTCCTGTTCCACCCACAGGGGGCAGTTTTCCAGCAGACTGTGACTATGAAGTATTTCCTGATCTTCTCATTTTTCAAGAGAAGCTGCCAATCTGGATTTTTATTTGAAAAATTCCGATTTGAAAAAATATTGGCAACTAAGTTTAAAAAATTTAAGTGAATTTAGACGCAGAAGATGTGGATGGACTTGATTTGCTCCACTGACAACCAGTTTGTCACCTCTGCTTTATAAGATTTGAAGTGAAAGGCATCCATAGTAATCATTGATGGTGCCAACAGAAAATGCTGTTGGTAAATGCAGCCAGTAGCTAGATTGCTTCTTTCTTCCATCTCTCCTGCAAAGAAATTTGATGTGATTCTGAATGCATTGGATGTGTCTTGATTGCATCTTTGCATTTCATGTTGTCTTAAAGGCAAGCCAGTTGTTAATTTCAAAATCAAATTTATGCTGTCTCAGTTTAAAAAATGCTAGGAACAATTTCACTTAAACTCCACAACCTAAAGGGCTAAACTTGTTTATAGTTTTAGCTCTTGGCATAATAATTTTTTTAAAATGCTGTGCAATTCTGAGCATAGGCCAAGACATGATCAGGAAAGCAGGGATTTGTAGTGAGTAAGGCAGGGAATCTCCTGGTGTCCATCAGAGCCAGGTATTTGCTTTATCTTCCGTTTTAAGTGATCTGTGAATTGACTCTGTTTTGGAGGTGTGAAACAGTATACAGACAAAAGCTTTTCCTGATGTTGAGATATCAGCTAGGAGTCCAAGTGGGGTATTGGGTCACCCTTGCCATATCACCTCCTTTCCAGGCTCAGGGTGAAAATAGACAAAAGGAAATCTGACTGCAAGCCAGTAGCTCTGATTCCAGTTTCAGAGTTTAGGGACTGGAGAAAGTTTAGATTATCTAGCATGTTCTCCCCCTGGTGTCAGACAGGGCTGTGCCTGAATTATTCCAGACATATGGCTGTAGATGATATTCTGTGTTTTCCAAGAAGGAGATTCTGTAACCTACTTTGCTGATCAGATAGTTCTTTGTATGTCTTACAGAAATTCAAGCCGGCTTCCTTTTGTTCAGCATGTAGTGGAGAAAGAACAGCTGGTCACCTTCCATGTATTTAAAAACCACAGTGAAGTCATCCCCCTGGTGTTTTTATTTCAGTGATAAATAATTCCACCCACTTAAACCATTCTTCATGGCTCTTGTTTTCCAGGGGCCTAATAATTTCACTGTTACAATGTTTCTCAGCTTCACACTCAGTTTAGTTACCCAAACAGAATGTTGTTGCCTTACTCACATTGGTGCCTTGTGAAGACCAGGCTCAGGGTGGGGATTATGGGGAAATTCTTGCACGCCCAGCTCCTCTTTCCACTTATAATGGCACTTTCACTAAATGGAATGTTGCCTATATTCATTGCGAATTATATGACTACCACATTTTTCCCTAGGTGATAGTCATCCATCATATCGTATGTTTGTTTTACTCCTGAGATCAAACACTTGGTGCTTATTCCTGATGTATTAATGTCATTCCTGAGCTCCTTCGAGATACCCTGTTGAGACCAGCTCTTACTTTCTGAGTGGCAGCTACCCCTTCCCTCCCAATTTTAGATCCTGTTTTTACACAGCTCTATAGACATCACCTTTATTTCATGACCCACAATATTAAATGGTGCAGACTTCGGTTTAACCACTGGTGAGGTAACAGCAGTAGTTGCTAAGTGCCACCTTCCCATTGCCATTTGAGGGCTAATTTGCAAAGACATTTGAATCTTCCAGTGAAGATGTCTGGGGAATTTTGGCCAGTTGTCTTCCCTCTGGCTCTTTTGCTCTTTAAAATTCAGCCGGGACCACAGACACCTCCAGGATCTTGTTTATGTTCTACGCTCAATTGACCAACCACAATCAGAAGTCTCACAAAAACAGTTATGACTACGTAGCTGATGTTTATATCATATAAAGTTTCAGGAAGATTCAGAGGGAATCTTCTATTTGTACATGATGTAGACAAAATTAGCTGCTCCAGTTGTTAGACAAAAAATTGCCACTGGATTACACTAACATGCTTGTCTTTTTAAAAAGTGTGGTATGTTTCTCTAAAGAGAAAAGCATGATGAGTCTGGACAGCAGCAAAAGCTTCTGTGAAAACCAATGTGTTCATCTAGACAGTAAGTAACTCCTATTTTTACTGTTTTTAAAAAGAGAATTTTTCTCTGTGAAGACTCCCTGTTACTATGTCCTAGGGGAGAAAGCCTGTGGAATACAGTGGTTATTGATGGTGTTGCCTTTGTTTCATCTTTAAGTTTGTCCTTTTTGGGATCTGGCGGGATAGTGAGCACTGATGGAACTGTATCAGTGTGCTGTATTTTTGACATTGAAAATGTTAATGACTTATTTGATTTGTACATAACTCTGTAAATAAGTGAAAGTAGATCACAGCTGACATTTACAAAATGTTTTTGTACCTTAGAATTTCTGCATTAAATAAAATGTTTTAAGATTGTAGTGGTTCATTTTTTAGCACATCTTTCCTGTTTCCTGACTGGCTGGGGTTCCCAGCCCAGTTTTCAGAGGGCTCTGCCTCAGGACGAGGCAGCCAGCGGTGGCCAGTCTTCCTTGCCCTTTAGAGAATAGGACCCTGCTGCCTCAGACCTTTACCTCGCCTCCATAGGCAGTCAGTTACCCATTACTCGTGTGGCATCAGGAGGCCTACCTGCTGCAACCGGGTTACTTATGTCAGAAAGAAATGTGACTTCTCAGAACAAATGGGCTTTCTTTTTAGAAATTTGAAAGAAGCCACTGAGATTTGAGGGCTGCACATAATTTTTTTTTGTCACTCAGGCAGAAAAAGAGATACCCGCTCAGTCCTCATGGACATTCTCCCCTCCTGTGCCCTCATGCTCTGCAAGTTAGCTTCTTGATGTCCATCACCTTCAGGATCAGGCCCCAGCTCTGCTGACTTTTTTTTTCTTTTAAGAGATAGGGTTTCTCCACATTGCCCAGGCTGGTCTCGAACTCCTGAGCTCAGGCGATCCTCCCGCCTCAGCCTCCCAAAGTGCTGACATTACAGATGTGAGCCATCGCTCCTGGCCTCTGCTACTGTTGCTGTGCCCCACTGACTGTCAAACTCTGCCCTAAGCCTCTCATCCACAGAGAGGCCCTACTTTAGAGGGTGGTGAATTAAACCGCACGATGAATGTAAAGTGCTACCTGTGCATTCCTGGCATGTAGTCCATGCTCAGTAAATGACAGTGTCCACAGGAGGACAGTGAGGGTTAACAAATAGCAAGGATGTAGAACGCAGGCTTTTGGCCATTGCCTGAGCAGGTTATAGTCTAAATTTGGGGTCTTGGGAGCATAATAGGTTGTTTTTTTTTTTTTTTTTTTGAAATGGAGTCTTGCTCCGTTGCCCAGGCTAGAGTGCAATGGGGCAATCTCCACTCACCACAACCTCCATCTCCCGGGTTCAAGCAATTCTCCTACCTCAGCCTCCTGAGTAGCTGGGATTACAGGCGTCCACCAATGTGGTTAGCTAATTTTTGTATATTTAGTAGAGATAGGGTTTCACCATCTTGGCTAGGCTGGTCTCAAACTCCTGACCTTGTGATTCACCTGCCTCGGCCTCCGAAATGCTGGGATTACAGGCTTGAGCCACTGCGCCCAGTGCATAATAGATTTTAAAAACTGGATTTTCCTTATTTACTTGTTCCTTCTCATACTTCACTGGGATGTTAATGTGCTTGGGGCCTACAACCCACCTCATTTGGGGGTCCCAAGGAAAACAGAGGGAGTAGTAGAAAACAAAACCCCCAAAGAAAACAGCTCTGAGGGAAGCATTGTTGGTTTCTGAGAGGAGGAAATTAGCACAAATTCTTGCCTCCTGACCTTCACATATCCTTCGTTTCTTCAGTTTAGAGTCACCCAGGCGGCTCCTTGTCATTTCTCGCATTGATTTCCTTTTCCCCCATACTCTCTGTCAATTCTTCTTTCCAGGAGTGACAAGTGCTTTACACACATCATCTCATTTATCTTCATGGCTGCTCTGTGAGGTGGCCAATCCCACTGTTCCTAACTGAGGCTCAGAGAGGCTCTAACTGACTTGCAATCCCACAGCTGGCTAATGGCAGAGCCAGGATATGAGCTGAGGCAAACCCTACCTGGCTTAGTAAAGCTCTAGCCAGCCACGTAGGGATAGACTCAAAAATGTGTGGTCAAAGACGAGAGCTTTCCCATAAAATGAATGGCAGAGAGGAAGTGATGATTGCCAGCCTCTGAATGTCAGCAGGGCTGGTTCCTGCTCTTAGTGCTCTTCGTGTTTTTTCTCACCATGACCCCCTATGGAGTGTACTATCAGCAGCCTCGTGTTTGATATTCTGAGGTCTAGAAATTGTATAGCTTTGCCAAGGGCACAAACAAGGAATTGGCAGCACTGGAGTTGAAGTCTGTCACTGAAGCATCATTATTCCTGATCAATAGGCTGCTCTGTCCCTCAGTAATAGTTTAAGTGGAAGGAAGAAGCTTGAGTGACCTGGTTCCTTTCTCATTGCAAAAATTGAGTATAAATCTGGTTCAAAGTTGAAGCAAATGGATCTCGTTAGGCAGACACTGCAATACATGAATTTTTCTTTCCTTTTCTTTCATTAAAACAAAAGTTGCAGCTGGGCTTGGCAGGGTGCACCTATAGACTCACCTACTCAGCAGGCTAAGGCCCCCAAAAATACAAATAGTTCAGGCAGGGTGACTTACACCTGTAATTTCAGCACTTTGGGTGGCCAAGACAGGAGAATCACTTCAGGCCAGGAGTTTAAGACCAGCCTGGGCAACAAAGCAAGAGGCCCCATCTTAACAAAAAAATTTAAAAATTTGCTGGGCATGGTGGTATGTGCTGGTAGTCCCAGCTACTCCAGAGGCTGAGGTGAAAGGATCACTTGAGCCCAGGAGTTTGAGGCTGCAGTGAACTATGATCACACCACTGCATTCCAGCCTGGGTGACAGAGCAAGATCCTGTCTCAAAAAAATTTAAGTTTAAATTAAAAAGTAGGCCAGGCGCGGTGGCTCAAGCCTGTAATCCCAGCACTTTGGGAGGCCGAGGCGAGTGGATCACGAGGTCAAGAGATCGAGACCATCCTGGTCAACATGGTGAAACCCCGTCTCTACTAAAAATACAAAAAATTAGCTGGGCATGGTGGCGCGTGCCTGTAATCCCGGCTACTCAGGAGGCTGAGGCAGGAGAATTGCCTGAACCCAGGAGGCGGAGGTTGCGGTGAGCCGAGATCGCGCCATTGCACTCCAGCCTAGGTAACAAGAGTGAAACTCCGTCTCAAAAAATAAATAAATAAATAAATAAATAAATAAATAAAAAAAAAAGTAAAACAACAAACAAAAAAATGTTGCAGCTAGTACTTTCTATTAGTGTTCTCTTGGGACAGCATGAGAAGCCCTCACTTGCGGGGCACGGTGGCTCACGCCTATAATCCCAGCACTTTGGGAGGCCGAGGCAGGCTGATCATGAGGTCAAGAGATTGAGACTATCCTGGCCAACATGGTGAAACCCCATCTCTACTAAAAATACAGAAATTAGCTGGGCGTGGTGGTGTGTCCCTGTAGCCCCAACTACTTGGGAGGCTGAGGCAGAAGAATCACTTGAACACAGGAGGTGAAGGTTGCAGTGAGCCGAGATCATGCCACTGCAGTCCAGCCTAGCAACAGAGCGAGACTCTGTCTCAAAAAAAAAAAAAAAAAGAAGCTCTCATTTTTACCATGATGTTAGAAAACTGTCTGTTTTTACAGCTGCCTAGAGTTCCGGCAGTCACCAGCATCTGTGGGGCCCTGCCACTGTCTTTGCTTTGTTTTAGAAATACCAGTATTACAGGAGCAAAGACCAATTTCCTCTTGCAGGCTCTAATTAGAAAAAAAATTTTTTTTGCTTTAGTTGAATAAAAACTACAGGTGATAAGCTAAGCAGGTGGAGGAGGGAGGAGACATAAAATATATCTTTGTAGTCCTAGGCACAGTGGGTCCTCAATAAATGTGTTTCCCACTCCTCCCTTAGCATATACTGTCCTCACTGTCCACAAGGAATGGAATCATAAGAGGCCCAAGAATAGGATAATTTAAAGGATGCAATGAAGGGGAAAGATGGACACAAACATAGTATGAGAACTTTTGCAATGACAAAATTCAAATGGGGCCATTGAGATTAAGGAAAAGAAATGGAAGGTCCATGAGCTTGGCTCCCTGGCCTCTTTCTGGAAGGGACCTTGCACCATCTTTGGCATTTGTAGATGATACAACTGCCTTAACAGGGTTAATTCCAAAGTATGTGCTGGGACACAGACATAGTGATGGACACAGTACATGCAGGACCCCTGCCCTCCTGACTCCACCTCTTCCTGTGTATAGAGTTGAGGGCAGGTCATCTAAATGTTCTGAAACTCAGTTTCTTCATCTGTAAGATGGGACTAATACCTACCACAAAGGGTGATTGTGAAGATTAAATGAGACAGAGTATATAAAGCACCCAAGGCTGTGCTCAGCAAGTGCCAGGTACTTAGTGAATAGTAGTTAATTATCCTGTGGTAGAGCAAGTCTGGTGCTCTTTGGGGGCCATATGGAGATGGGTGGGAGACAGTTCCATGCCCACAAGGAGCTTTAAGACAAGCACTTTGTTGGGTGCTAAGTTATAACATTTCTATCCGCTAAGAGAAGAGAGTGAGGCACGGTGGTTCATGCCTGTAATTCCAGCACTTTGGGAGGCTGAGGCAGCTGGATCATGAGGTCAGGAGATTGAGACCATCCTGGCCAACATGGCGAAGCCTTGTCTCTGCTAAAATACAAAATATTGGCCTGGCGTAGCACCACGTGCCTACAGTCCCAGCTACTCCGGAGGCTGGGGTAGGGGACTTGCTTGAACCCCAGGCGGCGGAGGTTGAAGTGAGCCAAGATTGCGCCGTTGCACTCCAACTTGGTGACAGAGCAAGACTCCGTCTCAGAAAAAAAAAAAAAAAAAAAAAAAAAAAGAGGAGAGGGTGGGTCCATGTTGCAGAGGTGAGGAGGTGAGGGTTGAAGAGGAACTTAATTTGGCAAAATTAAGACATTAGCTCTGGGGTTCCCAATAGCTGACCACACATGGCCTGCGACAGTTGACCATGCACCTTGAGATCTGCTAATGTCCCATTCCCCAGACTCCTTTTTTCCTGGTTGCCATTTAATCCTGATAGAGATGCATTTCTCAGGACTTGCTGCTGTAAGGTCTCTGTGCCAGCCGGATGACCACTATCTGCTCTGGATGTGAAGAAAGGCAGGGGTTGTTTCTCAAACCATCACTGCGAGGTCAGAGCAATTTTACAAGTTTTACAAGTTAGTGGAGGGAGATGGGAGATCAAATAATGCTCTTCCAGAATGAGATGGCTCTGCCTGGTCTTTTCCATTCTTGCTGGTCAGAGACATTCTGGGGAATGGGCAGGTATCAGCCTCAAAACAAACCATAGACTTTCCCTACCAAG